CCTACACGGCCGGGTTGGGTTGCTGCGACGCCAGGACGAGGGACACCTTTGGCGAGACCATGGCGAGCGAGTGGAAGCAGCTGGCGCCCGCGGAGCCGTTGGAGCTGCCACCCGAGGTGGCGAACAATCTCACGCTGGACACCGTGGTGGCGGACTGCTACGTGAACTTCGGCAAGCGGAAACACAGGAACACCGGCTCGTGGCGGGAGATTGACCCCGCAGCGGACCTGGGCCCGCCTGGCTCTTGCTACTTTCCGCCGAAAGAGTCCGTCCTGCGTCTCTTGAGCATTAAACGCGCACCCGGCGAACGAGGACGCGTCGTCCCCGGACCCAGACGGGTTGCACCGGTGCAACCTGCTACCCAGAAGCCGCTTGCTACGCCTTCACCGGAAATCCTCAATCTGCCCCCAGGCTACTTCGAACCCAAGGTTATTGTCGAGTATCAACCGCGAGCGCAACTTAGACGGACCTACCCTCATCCTCAGAGTTATCATCCTCAGAGTTATCCTCCTCAAGCCCAGTCTCAAATATATCCTCCTCAGACCCAGTCTCAAGCTTATCCTCCGCAGTCCCAAAGGTATCCGGAGACAGCTAGGCCCCAACGATACCTAGGTGGAGGAGCAGCAGCTGGTCCAGTCAATAGGAGACCAAAGGTCGCGCCGCTCGTTACGTGCAGTGCGCTACCCACAGCGTCTGTTCAGCGAGCACAACCGCTCAGGAAGACAACCTTGTTCGCACCCTCCCGACCGGGCGCGAGGCTACAGGCAGCGGGGTCACAGGCTGTCACCCTGCTTGGGACTGGCCACGGAACAGGCCCCGGAGCGTACTGGCCTCAAGGGACCACCCCGAGGCCTACCCAAGGGACCACCCCGAGGCCTACCCAAGGGACCACCCCGAGGCCTACCCAGGGGACCACCCAGGGAGCCCACAGGCCTACCCACGGGGCTACTCTCGTCCACTGCGGACCGAATCCTTCGTCCACGGCTGATTGGACTCCCCTCAACGGTTGTGCCCCCATCAACGATGGGACTTCCGTTAACGGCGTACTCCCTTCAGGCACTGCGCCAAACACAAAGGTAACGCAATGTGGACCCACTTTGTTCCGAAGTGCGCCAGCTCGTCACACGGCTCCGCCCCCCTGTCAGGGAGTGAGCCAATCACCTCTTGGAGCTTTCCGATGTCCCATCGGTGCCGTCCAACTGTCGCAGCTAGCGTCGCAGCCATCCCAAGGGGCCTTTCAGCCATCGATGGGATCATCGACGGGAGTACCCCACCCATTCCAGACAACACTACAAGCGTGCCAGACAACACTACAAGCATCTCCAAGAACCTTCCCACCATCACCAGCATTCCAGCGATTCAGGGGAACCTGCCAGCCGTCCCAGTCATCTGTGGCACGTCAAGCCGCACTTCAGGGAATGCCTCCTCCGGGCAATGGTCCTTCAGCTGCCGGTTTCTCACCCACGAACGTGTCCCAGTCCGTGGACGTGTCCCAGTCCGTGGACGTGTCCCAGTCCATGGACGTTCCCGTGTACGAACCGGTAGGCGCTCCACTGGTCATGAAAAGGATCGTCAGGCGTTCGAAAGCGGTGCAATATGACTGACTATCCAGCGAGTGTGTATTTAGTACAATTTTACCTTGCTTGTCTTGATTCGTTGGACGCGCTCTTTTTTCTTGCGCAGTATCTCACGGTAGCTCATGGCTTCCGTTGTCAACGAACGTATATTGGTTTCCCTTTCCTGTTCTTTCCGTCGCAGAATTTTGTTTTCATGACATTCCTTCTGCCTCAAATATTCCGGCAACGGTAGTCTACTTTCTTTTCTCAACTATAGGAAAACACATGTTTCTTAGCAATGCAATTTCCAGGGGGGGGTGGAGCCAGGGGGGGGGGGTGGGCCAGGGGGGGATTACCTTTCCGCCGAGAGCGCAGATCTTGGCGTCCATGTAAATCTTCCTCGCTCGTTTATCCAGGAGGGGCAGGCTAATTTCCCTGATGTCTTTGAGAATACCGTTAAACTCCATTCTCGCGTCCTGGGGGCCGGTGTTAGAACCAGTTTTGGAGCCAGCTTTGGAGAGCAGCACCGCCGGGGTTTCTTTATTAGCCTTGGGCACTGCGGAACCTCTCCCATAAGATGCTTGTGATGGGCCAGCATTCAATTGGTGTGTTGTTTGGACTGGTGGGAGGGTCTTCTTGGAGGCGTTAAGATCCTTTAAAGCCTTCCGTATGGATGTCTTGGGCGTCGTGTGCCTTTTATTCATGGCTTTGTTAAAATTACCTAGATGCGATAATGACTGTAGCTGCATGTTTGGCTCTCACGTCACTCACTCAGCGGCACGAATGCATGATACCCATGCAGCCTACTCTCACTTCCGGTAGACGGATGTGGCACTTTCGTTACGTTGACCCAGAATTCGCGCAGTTGCTGCCGGAGGCCCAGCAGCGGCTAGCAGAAGGCATTTACTATGATGAATTCCTCAGACTTAATGGCGATTACGCTTGGCAAGACGACGTGCATCTACTCCCTTCCCCTCCGGGGCACTGGGTCCCCCCGCCCTTCGCTGGTCTGAACGAAGCAGTACGCCCCCGCTCCGCTCAGCGCTTGTTGCCCTTCCGTTTTCTTCCCCTTCCCCTGGTTTTCTTCCCCTTCCCCTTCCCCGTCCCCCATCCGGGCTGAGTAGAATTGTTTCAGTTGTCGGACGACGGCTTAAGTTGCAGGGCCGTGTGGACGGTGGACCCCTACCGCGTGCAGTGGCCGGAATGGATTACGGGACAGAAGCCGAAGCCGCCGCAATGTGCTGCGAGTTTTCGTCGTTCGTTTGAAACGGTACTGCGATCCGCATTTCGTGTGGAGAACGAATGTCTACTGACGGAGGAGCAGCTATTGGAGCGACCAGTGTTGGTGCCTAGACAGGTGGTGCCAGAGGCGCAGGATTATACGTTGCCTCCGCCAAGATTAGCGATGGATGACTGGCACGTAGAATGGGTCCGACGTGATCCAGACGGAAAGCTGGTGATACATCGGTCACCCATACGGCAATCGATTACTCAGGCTATTCATAATATAAGACTACTAGGCAGCTCCCTATACTCTAAATTCGGACGAGTTGATGGCCGGTTACTCGATCGATTAGAACGGGAATTCGCCCATTTTAAGCGTACACACAATACAGATATCCTCGTCGAACATGTAGTTGAACCTGCTGCCCTCGAACAACCTGGCGCCGTCAAACGAGCCGCCGAAGAAGCCGCCAGACGCGCCGCGGAACGCACGGCTGAATTCAGTGTTAGACGACAAAAACGCGGGCGAGAACGGGAAGAGGCTAACCAAGAACGGGAAGAGGCTAACCGAGAACGGGAAGAGGCTAACCGAGAACGGGAAGAGGCTAACCGAGAACGGGAAGAGGCTAACCGAGAACGGGAAGCGGCCAACCGACAAGGCGCTGGTCGAGGAGGCGCTAGTCGAGGAGGACCTGACCAAGGAGGACCTGACCAAGGAGGACCTGACCAAGGAGGACCTGACCAAGGAGGACCTGACCAAGGAGGACCTGACCAAGGAGGACCTGACCAAGGAGAACCTGACCAAGGAGGACCTGACCAAGGTGGCGGCAAAAATGAGCTGCAAGACCGCGGCCCCCAGAACCTAGACAAACAGGGAGACACCGTTTCTGCAGCAATGAAAGCCTTTCAAGGCGATGCAACCGCCGCTGAGCGGACTAGCGAGCGGAGTAACGATCGAACTAGTGAAACGTGCAGGGCGAACCATTCGTGCAGTGATGCGGCTGCTTCATGTTCAACCCCGGGCGAGATTGCTGACCAAAGTATCCTCCAGCCTGTAATGCAGCGTTCCCTCCAGACGGAGACAAGAAAGACTGCCAACCAGGCGGAGACGAAGACTGTTGAGCAAACGGAGACAAGAAAGACGGTTAACCAGGCGGAGGCGAAGATTGTTGGCCAGCCGGTCTCGCCGGGTAATGTGCCCAGAAGGATGGTGGTGAGAAGTTCTATTGGTAGTGCAATCGTCATCGCAATTCTCATATTGTTACAGGTCCCTCGATTGCTGAAGGTTTCGCGTCGTAAAGAACTGGTCAAGAAGCGATTGCACTCGGCGTCAGGGGAGCGACGAAAAAACCGTACATTGTCCGTTGACGAAAGAGACCAACGAGGAGACAAGTCCAAGGCGCTCCGGGAACAACTGGAGCGTAAGGAACAACTGGAGCGTAAGGAACAACTGGAGCGTAAGGAACAACTGGAGCGTAAGGAACAACTGGAGCGTAAGGAACAACTGGAGCGTAAGGAACAAGTGGAGCGTAAGCAACAACAGCCGCAGCAAAACTGTATTCAAGATTCTTGTGGGACCGACAAGTACGTTTGTACAATAGGAGATGACAAGCGGAAGGGGCGCCACAGTATCTACGTTCAGGGTGCCTCGGTGCCTGTGAATACGGCTGACTGTGGTGGAAGGCAGTTTTTGGACAACAAGGGTAAGAGAATTACGGACAAGGCCGAGAAGGGAGTAACGGAAACAGACGCGAATGACAGAGACGGCGACGGCAGAGACGTAATGGGTAGAGACACCAAGGAGAAGAAACCCAGAGAGAAAGCAGCGAAGGATAAGGGAGCGAAGGATAAGGGAGCGAAGGATAAGGGACTGAAAACCGACTATGAAACTGCCTCGGGCCGGGGGAGTTGCGTGGATCACGTCCCATTCTCGAGACCGAACAGAATGAAGGCGTATCTGAATTTGGGTCGAGATCAGTTATTTCGAGAGGACTTGACTGTTGCAGATGAGACCGCCGAGTCGTCTGACTTGGCTGCGTCAGAACGAGCTCCGTCAGACCGGGCTACTTCGGAGCTTGCCGGCGATGAGGATAACGGACTGCGTCAGAGAAAATTGTATAAAGCGTTGGCAGATAAAGCGATGGCGGAGAGAGAACAGGAATTCCAAGTGCGTGAGCGAGCCGTGAAGCTTCGAGAAGAAAGGTTGGCAACGTGCGATCGGGACTTGAACCGAATGCGAGAGGATTTGAGCCGCGATCGAGCGTCGTTGCGCGCGCAGCAGGCTGCGGTGAACGCTTTGGAGAAGCAGGTCGCCGCCATGCAAGCAAAGGCAGCCAACGACTCTGTGATTGCCGCCGGCTTGCTGGAGGACGCCCGGCGGCAAACGGATGAGTTGGAGAGCCGTCAGCGATTAATGGCTCGCGACGAAAAGGTGTTGCAAACGCGTGTGCAATTATGCGAAGACCGGAGTAAAAAACTGGATAACCGCGAGCGGGAATGCGAGCTCCGTCTGGAGTCGTCCAAACAGATCATAAGTCGAGCAGAGGCGATTGAAGCTCGTGAGGCGTCGCTCCGGGATCTGGAGCAGCGTCAGGACCGGCGAGAGCGAGCGCTTGTTTTGAAGGAACAAAATCTTGTTTTGAAGGAGCAAGAGCTGCACTTGGCGAATGAGCAATGGGACTCGAAAAGGGCGGCAACCGAAGAAGCAGAGAAGAGGATCCAAGGACTGGAGCAGGCATCTCTGCAGCGCCTCGACGAACAGTCCGAAACTTTGAGGAAACGCCAGCAGGCTTTAGCGGATCAGGAGAAGGCGTTGGACGAGCAGCATGCCGTCATGGAGCGCCGACTGGCGGACGTGGCCGCCGCGGAGCAGGCGATGAAGGACCGAGAGAGCGCGCTGGACGAATTGAAGAACACGAACCAGCGCACCCTGGAGTCGCTGGAGAAGGACCTCCGTGAGCGGCAGGCGGCGCTGCTGGTGCGGTTGAACGAGCTGAAGCTGAAGGAGGACAACATCAGCAAACAGTCCGAAGAGTTGAGTCGGTGGGGCGAAAGGCTCGAAACGAAGGAGTCTTCCTTGGCGGTCCGCGAAAAAGAGCTCGTGTTGCGAGTGAAAGAAGTGGAACTGCAGGAACGCGAGAGCATGCTTGCCAGGAAAGAAGAGGCCGTGGCCAATCGCTCTGCCAACGTCCCGATTCGGAAGCACTATGCATGGAAAGAGACGTTACAATCGTCTTCCAAAATATCCACGTCTTCCGGCGGTGGAGAGGCGGCCAAGACCCAGCCTGGGAGTTCCCGCTTTAGCTGCTTGAATCCGTCCGAGACGGGCGGTTCCACCGCCATGAGCTCTGCGCCCATGAGATCTACCCTTGGCAAGTCCGTGCCCCCACCGCCGCCTCCCCCTCCGCCTCCCATACCGCCTATTGGAGTACTGGACTTCAAAAGCATTACGGCCCGGGCACCCCCTGGTTTTGACAAAATCTGGGCAGACGACGACGAATAGGTTATGGCAACTAAGCTTTGACCAACAAGCGGGCTGGACCAAATTCTCAGCTTACTTATGACGAGGTAATTTTTTGCGTCCAATTTTTAATGGACACAAGTCGGCTGCTTTCGGGGAATATTGCTGGGGCCACTGCTGGCCCACGCCAATTTCGTGATAGACATCAGCTCTGCGCTACTGATGACAAATCGGCCGCCAAGCCTGCTACCAGCAACCTCATGACTGATAGAGGCCTGTTGAAAGAAACGAAATTGTTGGCAGCTATATTGCGGAGTGCAGAGCGTGCTCATCGACGCAAAAGGTATGTACTCTGTACGAAGCACGTCTGCAAGCTCATATTGCGCGCTGCCAACGGGTCCCCCGACGGCGAGAAGCCCCTCGATAGCAAGCATTTGGTTGCAAGTGTCCAAAGGATCAGAAACGAATGTCTAGAGGCGGCAGCACTATGGACCACGGTGCTGAAGGAGAAGGGTTTTTTCTTGCCTTTGACAAACGCGTGTTTGGCATCGATCGCGCGCATATATGTGAAGCTCGGCTCTATCGAAGAAAGCGCGGCGCGCGAAGTCGAGCAAAAGGAGGGCATAAAGTCATCAGTACCATCCAAAAAAACCAGCAAGAGGGCAGGGACCAGCAGTGCGGGACTTGGACGGGTGGAACCACGGTCGAAAAAGAAAGCAGGATTCGACATGAAATCCTTTGTGGATAAAAATGTTTTTGGATGAACGCTCAGTATATAGACGGTTGAAGGATGCCGAGTATCTGCGGGGCATAACATGGAGGGTTTCAGTGATTGGTTTGGGTATGTATGCGCTTTCTCGACGGCCTTCCCCACTGGGGCCGTCGAGACTAGATTCTGTGAATGGTTTGTTTACTAATGTGGGTAATAGACTAGAAGACATAAAGCACACTGCAATGAGAACTTACAAGCACTTTAAAGGAGGGTCAAGTGGTGGTGACCCGGCAATTAGAGTGCCCTGGAAGTTATATAGAATGAATACTCTACCGTTGTTGCCTGATCTGAAGGACTACAAGCTTCCTAAAACTTTACCAACCTTAGTGGTTGACATGGAGGTTCTATTCAAGGATATTCATTACTCTCATGGCTGGAAGCTATTCAAGCGGCAGAGACTCGATGATTTGCTGAAATTCGCGTCCAATCATTTTGAACTGATTATTTGGAGCAGCGAGAAGTTTCCTCTAGGACAGACCATGATTTTGGGTTGCGGGATCTCCTGCATGGGGGTGCTACACCAGAATAACTTGTCCTATTGCGGCGGCAAGTATTACAAGGACCTGAGACGGCTGGGACGGGACATCCACCGTGTGGTGCGGGTGACAACAAGTACGCAGAACATCTTGGCGGATCAAGAGGACAACACTATAGTGCTCGATGGCAGTCGTGACGACTGTCTAGATGGCCTCACGAACTATCTCAAAACTCTGTCTCTCGCTAAGGGCGATTTGAGACCAAAAATTCGCGAATGTAATCGACAAGATTGTATTGACAAATACAAAACCCGTGATGTCACAGGCTTCCTGTCCCGGCTTATAGGCTTGGCTGGTTGAGTCGTTCTTTATCATCACCCTCTATTATCACCTCCATTCGCCACCTCCATTCACGACCTCCATTCACGACCTCCATTCGCGAGCTTTTTATCACAAATGTCAACGTCCCCGGCTACTGATGTAATTCGTGTGGGGAAGTATAAAGGAAAGCACTTCAATGAAATAGAAGACAATAGCTACAAGCAGTGGGTGCTCTCTCTTCAAGACTGTTCCGGTTCGCTACTGGCCTTTCAGACCTGGTTGAAGGAGAAGAGTAATACTGGAGACGGGCCAGAAGGAAGAAAGAGGTTCGCCTCTGAACTTGCCACAGCGCATGGTGACCTAGCGCCAGCACCGGCATACAATAAACGTTCCAGACTATCGGAGTTCCTGGATGACGATATGGACGAGTTGCTGGTCTTTGACGCACCAGATAAAGGCGAGGTGATTACGTCTCCAACCAAGACGTCATTTGAGGTTCGAGGTTCGCTGGATGGTCGAGCATCACTTGAGCGCCGAGGTTCGCTGGATGGTCGTGGTTCGTTGGATATCTTACAGGACGAGTTGGATGAATGCGGTATCAAAAGAGATTGGGATGAAGGAGGCCAGGGTGGGTCTCACGGTCGTGGCGGGGGCGGGTCCCAGAGTCGTGGCGGTATGCTTGAATCGTCTAGCGAGCCAGTTGTGACCTTTAATGGTAAGATGGTATTGGAAGTTGCCACTCCTCAGCATTTTCGTCTCCTGTTGTTGGAATCTGGTCGAAAGGGATACAGCACGTTTTTACCGAGTCCGTTGTGGAACTTACTATGTCGCTACCGCACAGTTCCAGGAGGCCAGAGCGGCGAGAATTTGCCGGGTGGGGTGTTGATAGATCAAGACAACTATGACGAAGTGGCCAAGTTGTTGGCGGCCAAGGTACGAGGTGCCCAGTTGGAGACGATTCCGTCATTCGTGCAGCTTTGTTTCCCCGGTTTGCGACCGTGTGCACCTTCCACACGATTGCCGGTGCGGAGTGCGAACATTATTTGTGGACTGAATTCACCGAAGACCCGAGAGGTGGTGGAGTCTACACGAGACTTGCATGGGCGTATCGGTGTCTTATTGATGCGTGAATTAAAGCCGTTCCAGGTGGAGGGAGTTATATGGGGTGTTTCAAGGAATGGTCGTTGTTTGATTGGTGATGAAATGGGATTGGGTAAAACGCTCCAGGCTCTGAGTATTGTGGCGGTGTACCATGACGAATGGCCTGTGTTGGTGGTATGCCCGAGTTCCATCCGATTCCAGTGGAAGGACCAAGCCAAGAGGTGGCTCGGTCATTGCTTCAGTAAACCAGACGATGAGATCGTGGTCGTCCGAAATGGACGCACGTCTATCCCTACAGGGGCGCGTATGATAATCACCAGCTACGAACTTCTCGTACGAGCGGACTGTCTCAAACATGGCTTCAAGGTAATCATTTGTGATGAAAGTCACTACTTGAAGAATATCAACGCCAAAAGAAGCCGCACTCTAGTACCCATGCTACAGACAGCTAAAAGGGCCATACTACTATCGGGCACACCTGCACTGAATAATCCTATCGAGCTGTATCAACAATTCAACGCCGTCGTTCCTGACGTTGTGAAGTATGACGTGTTCGCGAACCGGTACTGTGAGAAAAAAAGAAATCCATGGAGCAAACGTATGGAGTACTCTGGGGCGAAGCTGCCGTTGGAGCTGAACGTATTACTAACCCAAAGTATTATGATTCGGCGTCTTAAGAAGGACGTCCAAAAAGAACTGCCCGAGAAACTCCGGTCTTGTATACCTGTGGAAACAGATCAGGCCATCGTGGGCAAAATCCAAGAATTGCTGGAGAGCAGTAAGAAACAGGTGGAAGTGTCGCCTGAAACAGACCAGGAACGCCCTTGGCCGGAACAAAATGTTATTGGAGAAGCTTTCCGATTGACTGGAGAAGCCAAAGTCAATGCTGTCTGTGACTATCTAGATTACATGCTTACGGTCGAGCCAAGATTCCTAGTCTTTGCGCATCACCGTGTTGTCATGGATGCCTTGGAATTACGCCTGAAACAACACAAAGCCTCCTACATTCGAGTCGACGGGAGCACTCCTCAAAATCAACGGGACGGCTTAATACGGAAATTTCAAGAAGAGAAGAAAGCCGACGTAGCATTACTTTCCATCACGGCTTGCGGTCACGGCCTAAACTTAACTACCGTCAATACGGCTGTATTTGCAGAGTTGTATTGGGTACCCGGACAGATGATACAAGCAGAAGATAGGATACACCGCATGGGCTCAACCTATTCTACGGTTAACGTACATTACTGCATAGCAGAAAACACGTTAGATGATACGGTCTGGAAAACACTCATAAGAAAATGGGAGGGAGTCACTACCACTCTCAACGGGGTACGAGAGCAACTAGCGTTCGATAACCATTTTGGCGAAGAACCCATATTCTGAGGCGCCAACCAGCCGTCCAGCATCCCACCCTGGTCGGGTATCCTCTCCGTCCGGATTACTCGGGATCGCACCATCTATTTTCCTCTCTAATCTGTTTCTCCTCCTCAGGAGTAAAATCATTCTCGATTTGAAACAGAGCGCGAATCTCCTCAACGCTCCGACCCCGAATCTCACTGGCAACTCGAGCACAGCATAAATCCGCCAAGCCGGGAATATCCAAATAATTGGCAGCCAGGATTAGCTCGAACACGGTAGGAATTTCTACGCATGTAAATTTATAGTCCCACTCAGCAACCACGTCCTGGAACCGACGGTCTGGCAACGGCCTTGGCATCTCACGAGGTTTCGAGTTCTTGTATCTGTTTAAATATTCGATAACTTTCTCCAAAATAGGACCTTTTATCACAGGCAAAGGGAACGTCTTAGAAATATCGCACCCTATATAGGAAGACCATCAAGACAGAAAGACAGAAATTGATACAATTGATCTAGGTGGGGTCTCCTCTAGGTGGGGTCTCCTCTAGGTGGGGTCTCCTCTAGGTGGGGTCTCCTCTAGGTGGGGTCTCCTCTAGGTGGGGTCTCCTCTAGGTGGGGTCTCTTCTAGGTGGGGTCCCCTCTAGGTGGGGTCCCCTCTAGGTGGGGTCCCCTCTAGGTGGGGTCCCCTCTAGGTGGGGTCTCCT